ACACAAGAGCACAACTATCGTTGCTTGCTCACACGGCTTCTTGGTTGCCAAAAGGCTACAGTACACCTCTTTCCCACGCACCCCCCCCCCCCTCCGCGGGCTTGTCTGCTGCCGCCCCGGTGGTGTTCACCCTCCCAAAAATGGGCTGGTTTCTGGTTCCTGTTCCTACTAAAATAGCGCCCTCACCTCCGCACCACCAGCACCACTAGCCTTGAGGGAGCTCCCGGGTGTAGCGATGAAGCTCGAGCCGGGCCTCGGCAAGCTCTTCGACCCCGCTCCCGCCCCATTCCCTCCCGCCGCAGAACTTGGAAACCCGGGCACTATCCGTGCCGACGACCCCCCACCACCAGAAGCTAGCGACGAAGAAGCTGCCAGGATGGTTCCGATGCCGCGGCTCGCCGGCGCTTCCCTCCGGGGGGCTGCTGCCGCTGCCGAGGGCATGGAAGTTAGCAGGGACGGAGAAGAGATGCGATTGCTGCTGCTGCTGCTGCTGCTGCTGCTGGACGGCTTGGGCATCCCCGGTCTGCCGATTCCTGCGGCGGTGGCGGGTGCTGCGGTAGCCGCGTCCGGCTTTGGTGTGGGCGGGGGGGCAATCGGCTGCGGGAGGGCGGGGGGGGGACGGGGCAGATGACAGCCACAGACAGCAGTAGAGCACGGTTTAGATAAGCGCCAGCAGCCCCCGCCCAACGGGGCAGCAGCATCCCCCGGTTAAAGAGATGAGACGACAGCAGCGCTTCTGCCGGAGGACAAGCAGTAGAACCAGCAAGTGCTGTTCGACAAGAAAATGACAAACGGCAGTACAGGACTTGCTGTACAAGCAGCAGTAGCAGCAGCAGCAGCAGCAGCAGCAGCAAGTGACTGTTCAAGAATATATATTTTCGCACAGCTAGCTACAGGCGGAGCACACGAGTGCCCCGCCCACCCCACCACACCCCTCCGCACACACGTACCCCAGAATTGATGGAGCGCTGCACGTCGCCACTGGTACCACCGACGCTGGCAGCGGCGGAAGGAACGGCCTTCTTCGGTTTTGGTCGAAAACCGCGGCTGCGTGGCTTGGAAGAGCTGGCTGCACTGCCGCGCCCCAAGCCTACAGAGAGAGCCACAAACAAACGGAGACAGTTAGCCGAGAGGGATAGAGGAGGCGTTGAACTGGTGCATATGTGCATGCGTCGACAAATTGAAAGCGAACATCAGCAACAAGCAGTGGTCCGGTACAGCAACATGCCCTCCTGCCTAGTACCAGTTCACAACACATGATACGAGACAGCAAAACGTGGCCAAACGCAGCAAAGCTCTAACCTCAATGTCCCCACCATCCTCCTCTCTAGCATCGTATACAAGGTACGCGCCCACAGCTTTCCCTGCCTGCCACTCGTTGTGCGCCTTTGTCCTTATAGGCTCACGGGCAGGTTGAGTACGTTTCACAGCAGCATGTTGTCTGTCAATTGCTGTACCGGGGCTGGGGAAGCCATCGGCAAAGAACCCGTCAGAGCCAGCCATACGTATCGAAACACTCACGTTGGGCGTCCGTGATGGGCACATGGTTCAGCATCATGAGCGTGGAGGCCAGAGAGAGCGAGAGAGCGAGAGACAGAGACAGAGAAGAGGAGTGTATGTGGTATGGACTAGAGGTTCGAGCGGCCTGAAGGGGTTCCGCGATATATTGTTTTAGGGATACCCCATTTTGTTCTGAAAAACGAACCTGCCAGAACCACCATGACCAACCAATCAATGAACAACAGTCTCTTCGTCTCGTCGTGTGGTCTTCGTTCGGAGCAGCAGTAGATAGATGGCGCTCAACCAGCTCACCAATGAAAATAGATCAGTCTCATAAGCATAGCACGGCAAACAAAAGAGCGTACAAGCATGCGGTCTAGATTGTATTGATTTTTCTACGGGCTCGAGACTAGACTACAACACACGCACGCACGCATCTGTTTTCTCCGTTAGACTGTCTACTGGATAACAAAACGTGGACATCCCTCGCGGTGTAGTGTTGCTACGAATAGGCTATATACTACTTGCTTGCTGATTGCAATAATGGTCCGAGAGTCATTTCTGGGGTCTAAACAGAATGATGGTAAAAAACACAATATTTGCGCATTGGAATTTATTTTTGCTGAAATAATCCCCGTCCACCCGTCCGTGTGGCATCGCAAACAACTTGCGAAAGAAACTGCATCCTGTGGTTGTCGAAAGTTTGGACGCCAATCCCCCGTCCAAGGCCGCATAATAAATTTAAGGATGCCCGGTCGCCCTGTTCGAGGGAGGTGACGACATCGAGTTTTACACAAACAAAACGGAGTATTCAAGGTACAATAGTAATATTATATCATGCTCAGTAACAATGCCGAGTGTTTGGCAAATTCGGCCGGGAAAAATCTAACCCTTGGCAGAATGCGGTATCCTAATGAAGGGACTATCCCACTGAAGTGGAGAGCGCACGTGCGTACGATGAAAATGAAGGGCCCAGGCGCCTCTCCTGTCTGTCTGTTCATTCAATAAGCTTTCAGCGAAGAAGCCAAACTCTCTGGACACATTGAGATGATAATAAATGTCAGGAGGACGGGTTCGATGTCAAAATCACCAGGATAACGCCATTAAATCTCCTACTGAGCCCCCGCCCGCCCCCCAGGGTTTTCAAAGCTGAAAAAGAGAAAGCCCTATTCAAATTGCGGAATGCATTTTTCTTCATCATGTTTTAGAAATCTCTTCTTCTGGCTCCCGAATCTTCCACCACAGGTCGAAAAATATGAAAAAAGAAAAGATCACTTCGCACAAAGGAGCAGCGAACAGAGGACACATCGTGCATCATCTTCACAACTAAAAACCTTGCCACGTCACTTCCAGCCACTACAACGCCCTATTGTTCTCATCGAAACTCCCTACATCGCTACCTCTACCAAGGCTACCCGTTACCGCTAAAAATACTTCGTATCCTTGTGACCACTATAATACTCCAACCTGCACCGCTATAATACTCCAGCTTACCGATACCGACCTACCTGGTATATCCAACTTAAGTTTCAACCAATCCAATAAAACACGAACCGAGCAACACTAACTACCCGAAGAGAAAACAACTTTGTGGCGGGAACCACCCGCGCCCCTGCAGCGTCTCTGCAAGGAAATGATGATGATGGCGTGTTCCGGCTGGACGCGTTATCAATAACCAAGCACTCGAGCCTCCCCCCCCCCCCCCCCCACTGTCCTGGCCCACAAAAAAACTTCTCGGAACAAGGGGGCTACTGTATGACACCCCTATCGTCTATGGACACGCAAGTAGTATACAGAAATCAGCCGAAAAAACGGCTGCGGCCACTACACACAACGGAACAATCTCTTATCGCCGGGCGAGAGCCGATAAAAAGCCGTTGACAAGCTCTCGCCGCTCTACGATCATACCAATGTGGTGCTTCACGAATACACAAGAGGGAGAACGAGGTCAACACACACACGCCACCCCGCCGTATTGGTTCCATCTGAGACTCTCGACCTCGACTCAATGCACATATTATCGGACACTCTTCCCTCAGTTGCGACGACAGAGTGAAAACAAGCACGCCTCCTTTGGATATTTCCCGAACCTCGTTGTAGAGGCTTCCGCCTTCACCCCCATGGGTGGATGGATGCCCCGCTCCTTTCCCCCACCGTCATTCTTGTTTCTTGACCAATGAACCAGACACACATGGAAGATAGTGCTATGATACGTACATGAGCTATCCGCCTAACTAGGAGACAAGCAGCAGCAATAAACACAACCACAAGGAACGAGCAAGACACTACTAAAAAACACTAGCAGGGAACCAGATTGACACCCCACGCACGACACCATGAATGCAACGATGATGTGTACATCGGTCACTCGCTTGAGGAAAAAGGACAGAGGAAAAACGACAACGATAGGGACCGCCACAATATTTGCCATCACCAAGCCTGACCAATCGAACAACCGCAACAACGACAAAAGCAACGTACTATAACGCCTGTTTTGTGAAAAACGGACAACGAGGGACGTGCCAAAATACCGCACACGTTTTCTCTTCTTTTTCTTTTTCTCTTTGACGACAATTCTTACAGGGTCAAGGAAACCGCGGAATCCCTGGAGCTAATCGTATGGTTTTGATTTTATTTATTTTTCGCCGGGACCAAACGAAGTAATGAGGACCACAAACGACACACGCCGGACACACGCCGGTCGGTGCACTGTACCGTTCAACTCGCCAAGCAGCCATGGTCCCAAGACCAGACAGGTCTACACACGATGGCTACAACAGCCACCACCCGCTACAGAAGCCAAACGCTCCTCAATCTCCTTCCCCATCGCCCGTCCATCTTGCACCAAAACAGGCCGTCACTCACCGACATACACACACAAGCACACGCTCCCGCGCACGTTATGTGCATGCTCAAGTCCCGCTAACTTCGTCTCCGAAGCGCATAGCACAACAATATTCAATATCTCACGTCCAAGGAGAAACGGCGGTGGGTAGATATACCACGCCGCCTACACCACCCCTACAACAGACAAAGGAATCGCAGCACAACGTCCCCCTGCAAAACGCGGGCAACCGCCCCGCTGCCAGACCGCATCAAGGTGCACGCTCCGATGTAAGGAAAACCTCGATATTTTTACAACCCCAGGCTGCCTCCACTGCTGCATCCACATCCACATACAAGCACCCGGGCAAAGCTAACCGTTTCTGCGAGCTCAACTATCTCCCGCGCAAAAAAAAAAGTCAACCACAAGGAAACCCTCGGGTGGACTCGCTCGCCCCCCCCCCCCCCCCCCCCCTTTT